GGGGGGGGGGGGGGTGTGGGGGACCAGCAGAATCGAAGGTTTTTGGTTTCCTTCGGTTCAGTGGTTCAAGGAAGAAGAAGGGGCTATATTTTATTGAAGCTGTTCACAGTATTATACTGCATTTTAAGTAAAACGCAGTATAATATTGCGAACAACTTTAATAAAATATAGTTGGGCCCAACATCTTAGTAAAACGCAGTATAGTACTGCGATTTACAAAAAAAAAAATTTTTTAAACAAAAACGCAGTACTATACTGCGAATTACTTTAACGGCAAAATTTCCGTTAAAGTAATTCGCAGTATAATAATGCGTTTTAGTCATTTATGTAACTTTTTTTTAAGTAGTACAAAAGTATTTTTTGTTCAAAAAATGATTAAAAAGGTTTTGGACTCGGTAAAACACAGTGTTTCTAATTGGTTGAAGGCAAAGAGTAATACACGCGTCACAAAACGACTGCTCATGAAAGTGAAAGCTCAAACCCCTTTTCTCCTCTCCACAACTCGGTCTCCTATTTTCCTTTTTCCTTTTTTTTTCTTTTAAATTTTTATTTTTTCGCCTTCAGAAACTCCGAAAAATCAACAAAAGTTTCAACCTCCAAAAACCTCCAAAACCCTAATCAGATTTTCATATTTCCACACTTCAATTCAATCCCATTTCACAAATCTATCAATTTTCGCCAACTTAATTTCACCATTTTAGACTCGTTAAGCAGCTTAATTAACTACACACACAAATTTGGGAGTAATAATGGCTGGTTCTGGAAGCTTCGCGGTGTCGCGGAGTCATGGCGGTGACCGATTCTACAATCCTCCTGCTATGCGCCGGCACCAGCAGATGCTATTACAACAGCAACAGCAGCAGCAGTTACAGAAACAACAACAACAACAGCAGCAGCAGTTGCAGAGAGCAGCTAATAAAGCTGAGGCGCCTGCTGCTGAGGCGGCTGGGAACCGGACGGACTCGGACGATTCGACTACGACATTGTCTAAGACGCCCTCCGTTTGCTCCGCTGCTTCGCCGCCACGGCCGCCGCCAGTAAATGTTACTAATTTGGATAGTTTGATTGAATCTGTTACTCCCTTCGTGCCCGCCCTGCATTTTTCTGAGGTATAAGAGGTGTTTCAGTTATTTCTAAGTTATAAGTTACTAGCAGTTTTTTTTTTACAAGTAACACAATCTTTATAGTAGCAGGATTTTGCTTTTTCATTTTGCTCTGCTCAAACTATCGTCCTTGCTTGCATATGAGGCGAGATCTATTTATAGATTTCAAGTTTTTATTTTTCATTAACGTTCCTCTTTTATAGTTGGAGTGGAATGGATATTGAAGAATCACATTAGCCAAACCAGTTTGTGATTTAGGAGTAATAGTTATAGTAAAGGTAGTAGTTGTTGTTCTCATATTTAGGAAGCAAATGCTGTTTGATTTGCTTTCAAGATTTTAAGATTTCTGGTTTAGATGTCAAGATTTTATGTTTTCTTCACATTTCTCACGTTTAGGAATCAAGTGGTGATTTTATTTTTTTACCGATATGCATTAATTTTGCGATTTATTTGTTGCATTAAGAATGAATAGCATCAAAACGAAGAATACTTATCAATTTATCAAGCTTTGTATGGACAGGTGAATGTAAGAGGCCGTAGAACTAGGGAAGCAGAGTCAAATCCCTATTATTGCCTTGGGGATCTCTGGGAAGCTTTTAGTGAGTGGAGTGTCTATGGAGTGGGCGTACCACTATTGTTGAATGGGAAAGACTCAATTATACAGTATTATGTTCCTTTCTTATCCGGCATCCAGTTGTATGTAGATCCATCTAAGCCATCTTCACGCCTTAGGTAAGCCAACCTTTGATGTTCTTTTTCTATTTTCGTGCTAATTAGTCTTTTAATTGGTATATAGTTATTCACCATTTCTCCGAATGCTTATTCTGCTTGCCATCTAAATTGGTATCCACTTTAGCCATGCTTCGTAATTTTTCAATTGCTCAGTTCAGTTTGAGTGGGTTACAAAAATATATATTCAATTTGAGCGGATTACAACATAGACGCACAAGCTTTAACTTGGACGTGCATTGAGTTCACTGTTTCAATTGCCTAATTCCTTGAGATGAGGATATTATTGTTGTTCCATTGCCACAAAACGCTCTTAAAGGAACCATTGCAATAAAAATGCTCCAAAATTGGTTCTTCTTTTTCCTATGTTGTTGAAATCACCCCCCTTATGAGAGACTTTAATAACTCTCCATGCCGCAAATGGGATGTTGGGATGATTAGGATGAATAGAATCTTCAGAGGGAATAGGATTCACTTGGAATCATGGATTTTATGACGTTGAAGTGTAGTTTAAGACACTGCTATTTGGTAGTCATTTATGGGAATATCTTTTCATTGCAAATGATGCCTTAAAATAGAAGCTAAGGGGTAGTTATTTCATAATTTTGCTTAGGATGGCGATCTATTCTTTTTGATAACTTACCACGTTTACTAAATTGCATGTGATGGTTGACTGTTTTATATTGCAGTCTGTTATTTTGTCCATATCATCTATCCACAGCCTCCAACTCTTGGAGGGATATTTCGTATGCATTTTGTGGAAGTGTGATGTGATTCATAGAAAGCTTTATGCTGCTTGTTGAAGAAAATTGAGAGTACCAACTTGATAGGTACATTAAATAGACAAGAGTATATTGAGAGTATCAACTTGATGGTTGCATTAAATTATTTACGAT